AATGAATGGCCAGATAAGAGAGTTGGACTTCAAGTCATTCCAAGCCAATAGGAATCTTTTAGCCTCTGTATGAAAAACCGATTGAAAATTCCAATATCCCAAGAATTTCATCCAAATTGGCCAAACAAACGAACATGAAAAAAATAAATGCGATGAAGACTCCTCTTCAAGATTACAGAAAGAACACAAAGTATCATTTATGCCCTGAACACCTCTCTTAACCAGAGCTGTCTTGACCGCCAACTTCTTTAATATAACTTGCCAAAGAAAAGTCTCAACTCTTGGAGGCAACAGACCCCTCCAAACATTAGACTTCCAAAATTTAGCTTCCTCTGAATCGGGAGAACCCGAATAAGATAGGTTGACACATGATTTCACTGTATAAACCCCTTCCCCATTCCCCTTCCAAAACAATCCATCAGTGGCATCAGCAGAAATAGAGAAATCAGAGATCACAACCATCAAATTTGCCCATTGCTCAAATTCCCAGTCATTCAACTCTCTCCTCAACTGAACGTTCCAAATCCAACCCCTTGAACTGAACTCCCCAAACTGAGTTAATCTTCCTTCTTTATTTACTGCAATAGAAAATATTCTAGGGAACAATACCATCAACGGATGATCCATAGTCCAATTGTCTTGCCAAAACCGAATGCTCCTCCCATTGCCAATTTTAAAGCTATATTTACCTCTGATACTACAGCCCAACGAATCAGCATTATAATGGTTTCTCACCATATCTCTCCACATCCAGGATAGTTTAGGAGAGACTTTACTGTCAAACTGCATCAAGGAAGGATCCAATTTATATTTGATGCAGAGCAATTCCCTCCAAACCGCCTCCCTCTCAATAGCAAACCTCCAAGCCCATTTTTCCATGAGTGCCCTATTCACCACCTTTAAATTAGGAACCCCCAATCCTCCTTCAATTTTAGGTTTACAAACATCGGACCAGCTTACCCAATGTATCCTCTTTCTCCCATCACCACCTCCCCACAAAAAATTTGACATGATAGAATTTAGAGTCTTGTAAACTGATGCTGGAACCTTGAACATTGACAAAAAGTAAATAGGGAGTGAGCATAGCACTGATTTAATTAGAACTAGCCTGCCTGCCAGTGACAGAGAGGAGCCTTTCCATCCCGCCAGCCTCTTATTAAAGCTTTGAACCACTGGATCCCATAGGATGTTGGAGTTCCTATGTGGACCTAGAGGGAGTCCCAAATATTCTGAGGGAAAAGAGCCCACTGAACATCCAATCATAGATGCCCAACCCTTAATTTCCTCTTCCTTTAAGTTCACTCCAAATAATTTACACTTCTTTAAATTCAGCTGTAGACCAGAAATAATCTCAAACACCCGAAGAACCCTCTTTACATTCAAGATCTGTTTTTTCGACGCCCCACAGAACATAATAAGGTCGTCAGCAAATTGCAAATGGGTTAAATTAAAATTCCTCTCCTCCTTTCTAATGACCAGACCCGAAAAGAGCCCTCGTGAAACAGCCTTCGCTATTAAAAGATTCAATAGTTCCCCAACTATATTGAACAACAATGGAGACAAGGAACAGCCCTGCCGAAGACCCCTCGCCATAGGAATTTCCTCAGTTGGGACTCCGTTCACCAAAACTGAAACAGTCGCTGAAGTGACACATTTCGAAATCCAACCTATCCATCTAGAACCAAAGCCCATTTCCTTCATTATTCTGAACAAAATAGGCCAGTCAAGAGTATCATATGCCTTCTTGAAATCAGCCTTAAAAACACACCCTTTCAAACCATTCTTCCTCCAAAAGTCAATCCCTTCATTTGCTATAAGAGAACAGTCCAGGATTTGCCGACCGGGGATAAAAGCGAATTGACTTGGACTGATCAAATCTGAAATGCAGCTCCTAAGTCTTCTTGACAGACATTTCGATAGTATCTTATACAATCCACCAACAAGGCTTATAGGTCTAAAATCGTCCAGTCCACCAATGTTAGAAATCTTAGGAATAAGAGTGATGAAAGTGTGATTTACACCATGTTCCCATTCCTTCCCCAAGTAAAAATCATGAAAGAATTTCATAATATCTACCTTCAGGACCTGCCAAAACCTCTTAAAAAATCCCAAATTAAAGCCATCAGGACCCGGAGCTTTGTTGCTGCCACAAGATTTCACCACTTCCCACACTTCCTCCTCAGAAAACTCCTGTTCTAAGAACTGCTTCTGCTCCAAAAAAATTCTGGGAAAATCCAGATTCAAATCATCAAGCTCTAGAGTAGTTCGTTCATTATAGATCTTAAAAAAATACTCTTTAACTATGGCCTTAATTGCCTTTGGGTCTTCCACTGTTTCCCCTTTGAAGTTTAAAGCAAGTAGAGCATTCCTTTTATTCCTAATCGTAGCACAAGTGTGGAAGTATTTAGTATTGCGATCCCCATCAACAATCCATTTAGTTCTCGAGTACTGAAACCAGATCTGCTCCTGAATCCTGTAAAGCTTCCACAATTCTGCTCTTAGATTCTTCAATTCAACTAATACCTCACTGTCAACCGTTCCTTGCTTCTGTTGAATATCATCCTCTATCAACGAAATTTTCTTCTCTAACTCAGAAATCAAAGCACCTGGATATTTCACTCTGTTCCCAGACCACTTCTTAATTGCATGTTTGGTGTTCCTCATCAGACTAAAAACGCCTGCCTCGTTCTGACTACCCTTACCACTCTGAAAAGAAGAAACAACCAGATCCTCAAAACCCTCCTCATCCATCAAATAATTGAATAATCTAAAGGGTTTTCTGCCCCAGTCCACCCCTTTATTCTCCAGAACTATAGCATTATGATCTGACAAGGATCTTGGTAGAAGCGACTGCACAACGCCCGGAAACAGCTCTAGGAAGCGACAATCAACCAAAAAACGGTCCAATCTAACAAAAGTGGGATTATCTTGGTTGTTACACCAAGTGAACCTACCCCCGTTCAAAGGAAGATCAATCAAACCCGTATGGAGAATGAACTCATTAAAGATCTCCATTGAACTCCTACTTTGACCCCTTCCCAATTTCTCATCTTCTTGTAAATATACATTGAAATCCCCTCCGACACAAATGGGATAAGTCTGCCCACTAAGAAAACTGCTTAATTCTTCAAAAAAACCAGATTTCTCCTCCTCCACTGATGGACCGTAGACATTGATGAAACCACACCCGGAATCAATACTCCGAAATTTACCGAAAGTAGCAATGAATCTCCTGCTAACAAACTGATTCTCCAGCTCAAAAACATTATCATCCCAACAACACAACAGGCCCCCCGCTGATCCAACTGAAGGAGATTCCAAAATTCCTTTAAGTTTATAAATTCCACTTCTCCTAAAAAAAGACTTCCTAAATTTCTCAGTCTTAGTTTCTTGCAGCCAAAGAAAAGTAGGGTTAAAGTTGGAGACTAAATTCTGAACAGCCCTCCTTTTCTCGTTTTTCCCCAAACCCCTAACATTCCATGAACATATTACTAGCTTTGTCATCATCAAAAAGGAAATAGGTGCAGACACACTCCTCAAACAACCAATCCTTTATTAACCCCATTTACGCCTTTCTCTAAAGCTATGATTTTATCCAAAAAGGCTTCTTTCCCTTCCTTAAAAGACACACCCAAAAGCTTGCTAACCTCCCAAGTTTCCACCGCTTCTTTCAACAGAATCGAAAAAGCTGAGGAGGATGCTGTATCAATGCTCACCTTGTCAAGGGCTTCACGATACAGGATCCTTTTAGTTCTTCTCTTCCTTCTAATCAGCAAACCAGATTTGGACTTTAGGCCACCACCTTCTGAAAAGTAACCTTCAATCTCCCTTCCTACACTCCCACCCCCATATCCTTTGTCAAGATAAGGATCAAGACTCCCCTCAGCAATGTTCTCTGCTGATAAACAGAGCTGAATATTCGTACTGGAATCAACATCTAACTCCCTCTGCTTAACTACGGCATCCCCTGTTTCAGACGAGATGTTCAACAAATCCCCATACCAGTATCTTCTTTCCCTCGACCTGTTGTAAACCCTTTTACAATTGCTCAGACTTCTAGTTTCCAGCACATTACTCTCTGTTGTAAACTCCCTTCTAGACCGAATTAACTGCCTCCCCTAGAGTTGTTATTTAAAACCTGTTCCGATGGTCTTAAGTTTTCTTCTTCGGGGTCTATCTCCACACTGAATGGCTTCTCTACAATTGGACTCGATTCCATTCCCTTGGACACTCCCCTGCATTTTCCTGATAAATGGATGTTTTCAATAAATTCCCCAAACTTATTAATTGTATATGCTGGCCCAGAAATAAAACCCGAAAAGTATTTTGACCCAGTCTGCCCAGATTCTTCAGAATGGGCCTGAGATCCATCAGCCGAAAAATTTTGACTTCTAATCCCCAAACCTGCATACTCACCAACTTTAAACTTTCCAACAGTCTGACTTTCTGACAGACCACATTTAATATCTTTCCTATCTAAGGAAAGTCTTGCTAGCTGTCTGTCCTCACTAGCTCCTCCAGAAACATGAAACACTCCCTGGTCAACCCAATTGTCCACTGACAAACGATTTTCCCCTGCTGCGCAAGTCTCACCTTCCCCATGAACTGACAACAATCTGTCTTCATCCTTCTCAGACATCCTCTCTTCAAAAAATATCTCACCGGAATCCTCCACCGGAAAATTACTGAAAAACGAACTAGAGTATTCACTTGCTGATCCAATCTTGATACTTACTTTGTATGATCTTCCATACGATCCAAGAGTAATAACCTCTGGAACATCAAAAGGACTTTCCACCTTCAATAAGATTCTTGCCATGGTGAGATCTTCTCTTTTCCTTGTACTATCATGGATATCTACCACACTGCCCCATCTACCAGCCAACTTCTCGAAGAAGGGTTCATTCCAACACAGCAAAGGAACACCTTTTAATTCCACCATGCAGAAGGCAATTGGTTTCCCAGCTTCATTCAGTAGAGGTTCCACCCGCTCGAACCACTGTTTTAAAACTTCTTCCTTCTTACTCCATAACTCCAGCATCTCCTCATGAGATTTGAGGATTATCACACAAGAATTCCAGACATAGCCCCATCTCGCAATTTGAACATCGTGGCCTTCTTTTAATAATGCCGTCCGAATGAACTCCGCTTGAAAGGAGTATTTGATAATCCCTGTTAACGACCTCTTCACCCAGTTGGCGCTGTCTGTTGGGATATGCATCTCAATATATTTCCCTTGACAGTCCTCCTCTGGATATCCTCAGACATTAGACCATTGTTCCCCCTTCTATTCCCATTAGACAACAGAGCATCCCTATAAGATCTATCATCCCTCCTACTTCTATTAATATTATCTCTATCTCTTGATTTTGAAGATTCTGCACTAAACTGACCAACATCATTGTTTGAAGAAGAAAGCAACACCCTTGACCTTGAACGTTCATCCTTAAATCTGGCAGGACTAACTGAGATCTTCCTTCCATCAATCACAATCCCGTTTAACTCCTCAACAGCCCTCTTCAGATCCTCCTCCCTCTTAAAATGAACAAAGGCAAAAGTAGAGAACCTGTATTTTGGATTTCTAGTCTGACTGGGAATAAAAACTCTCGTAACAGGACCATGAACTAAGAATAATTCCCTAAGCGTACGATGGGAGACCCTTTTACTAAGATTATCGATAAACACCGACCAACACTCAACCGGAACTGACTTTCCTTTCAAATTCTCTCTCTCTACGTTTTTCTCTCTCTCACTCATCTTGTTCTGCTTATGTGTATATTACGACATGTTGCATTTAAATCATTATTCAGATCAGAAGCCAAGAAGCAATTAATCAAAAGCTAATCGACAGAAAACACAATTGTAATATTGTCGAATACAAGCAGATTTAATGGATAGCAGTAGGAATCAATAGCAGAGTAATAGAGAGGAAGTACCAGAAAATGCAGAGGGGAGAGAGAAGTAAACTCAAAAAAATGGAAAATTAGGGAAGGAAAAAGAAAAGGGAGAAGAAGAAACGAGACATACCTGAGAATACGACCGCCCGCCTTGCCTGTGAGAAGGATTCCAAACAGTCGTCAGTGTGGAGCAAGGGACGGGAGAAAGAATTCATGGTGTTCTCTGTGTGGAGCAAGGACTGCAAGAAATTTGGATTTCAACTTACCCTTTTCCAAACGGTAAGTTGAAATACCGTTTTTAAGCCTTAGTTTTCCATTGACTGGAAAACATTTTACATTGACCTGGAGTTTTCAGCGAACCAAACACCAGAAACGGGGAAAACGTTTTCCGTAAAATGTTTTCCCCGATCCAAACAGACCCTTTATTTCGATGGCCACATCTCGAGGGTTGAACTTCCCACAAACGCTTACTCTACACTGCTTCTTCTCTATCAAATGAGTTTCCAACTCTATACTCACACATTTCATCAAACATCAAAATATTATAAAAAATAAAGATTGGAAAGGACTATCTTTAGGGTTCTTACTAAGCATGTTTAATGATAATGATGATGATGAATATATTTCATGAGATGCTTATTCCATGGCACATAATTTTAAGCTTAAAAGACAAAAAAAGCTCAACATTCATGAGAATTTCCTTTAAAGTGTTTGCAAAGAGAAAATACAAACATTAGCTTATAAATCAGGGGCCAAAAAGAAAACCATACAAGTTCCAAGTGATTTGTTTTCTCATCCAGATATATGCAGACCCTTTATCTTGTGGCAACTACTCTAAACTGGGTGCAACTTCAGTAGGGTTAGATTCAAAGACATCCGAAGTAGAGGCATCGGGTTGTTCTAAAAGCTCCTGAGATTGGATCGACTCTTTGTATGCAGGAGTCTCCTTAAAATCTGTTGCCCCTTCGTTGTAAGTCGCCACGGCAATCCCACATGCAATCAACTGATAAAAAATAGAATGCAGAGACTTGGTAGATTCAATAATCAATTATAAAATGCAGAAGAAAAAAAACAAGCAGAATATTTTACATGTTCCATGGGTACCAATGAATCATGAAATAAACAACTTGGGCACACCCCCTTGCCAAAACAAAACTGGTACACTAAGGACTACACTTAGATTTATTGTACTTGTTGCTAAAATGTCAGTGTTAAACTCGAAACTCTCGGTGGATGCTCAGTGACCCAAGGAAAGGAAAGAAACTTTCCGGCAATGAAAATTATAATCTTCTTCTGATCTTCTCATTCATCAAATGAAATGGAAACTTTTCAACAACCAAAAACTAACCAGCATGTAAATAGATGTGGATCGGCAAATTCTCCCACTACTTTTAAGACTGAGCTTCTGAGGTAAATAACCAGTAAATCTTTTATGAGGTACGTTTCCTGCCTAATTGCCTAGACTTTAACGCTTTCAAAAAAATTTCAACCATACAAAAGAGACCGTTCCCAACCAATTGTCTTCAAAGAAATATACAACTTCAAATATCGATAATTCCAAGCATCAACAATGCAAAAATTGAATAGCGAAAAAACGAAAGAAGAAAGGCGGTGTTAAAAGCTTCGAAATTACCGCGAAAACGATGCCGAAAGCCCACAAATACTGAACAAGGAAACCAAGAACATCCCACTGCGGACCTTCAAATGGATCCGGCTGAAGACCCTGAAGATCCGGAAACGGCTTACCGTCAGCCGAAACCAAATACGAACTCCCACCAAGTGTAACGTTATCCAATCCAACTCCAGCAACACCATCATTTTCTTCTGTTATCTCCATTTCATCATCTTGTTCTTTGGTCGTGAGATTGCTCCTCCTGTTCTTGCTGTCGAAGCGTCCGGTTCGGAACTTTTTGGCAGCTGAGGTCAAGTGGAAGGTTCTGGGAGAGTTTGGGAAGAGGAGGCAGCGGCGGCGGAGGAGACCGGTGGGTAAGTGATTGTGGTGGAGGATTCGGACTCCGTTTCCGCTGCTACTAGTACTACTGCTATTGCTGATGGTTAAGGTTAGCGCCATTTGAGTGGAGAGCAGCGAGCAGGATAAGAATTAGAAGATTTTTATTTTATTTTATGGTAACGGTTTATTACTATTTTTATTAAAAAATAGAATTTTGCATTGGTCTTATTTAATCCACGGACTCCTCTCAACTTGGCCGGCCCAAGTTCTTCCATATAAAAGGTTAATTCAACAGAAAGTCCCCAAATTATAACACTCATTCTAAATTAATCCTTAACTTTGAAAAAAAAATCTATATTAATTACTAAATTATAATCTCATTTTAAATTGATCTCTATATTTGAAATATCATATATTAATCGTAAAATTATCGTATCATTCCTTTTTGATATCGTTAAATATCTTATATTAATCTTAAAATTATCAATACTATTTCATTTTGATATCACTAATTCTATTAATTTTTAAAGTTTTTAATAATCGAACACATAAACTTCTAAAATGTTTTAATTTTTTATAAAGTTATAAGAATTAAATATGCAATTTAAAGATTTTCAATGTTTTTATAAATAAATTTATTTTAGAAGCTCATTATGCTTTCATAAATAACTTAATTTTTTTTCAAGACTGTTGTTAATAATATATTAATATAAATTTAAAATATAATGATATCCATAATTTAAGAGTTGATATAATTCAAATTTAAAAGTTAATTTTGAAAAAAAGTTATACTTTAAAGATCAATATAAAATATTTGAAAGATCAAAAATTAATTTAAAATGAGAGTTATAACTAAAAAATATTATGTGCAATTATCTCCTCTAAAGATTAATATTTTTTATATGTAAAAATATTTAATTTATCATAGTTCGATAAATGAGTATTGTAACTCAATGTTGAAGTGGCTAACTGCACGAATCAATTTATCTCAATGGTTAAAGGAACTGTTATTATTCATAGTTTATTATCAAAAGACTGAAAATATTTCAAACAGATACTACTTTGCAATCACCTTTAACTTAATAAAAAAAAGTGGCTAACCCATAATTTAATAGACCGGCATGAATAACTCATAATTTAACTTTAATTGAACAAACAAACAAACACGAATAACTAAACAAACAAAAATTTATTATTCGTGTTCATTCATTAATGAATGTAACTTGTTCACGTTCGCTTGTTAAAATGAAAAACGAACACAAATGAACGAACGTAAATGTATATAAAATTAATTGGATTTATATTAGAGAAAAGTTTTTTTAAAAATAATTTTTGTGTTTATATTTTCTTTTAATTGACTTGGGCATTTTTATTATTTGAGTTTTAAAATATTAATGGATTTAAGGTTAAAAATTAGGGTAAACTACACATTTAGTATATAAACTATTAGTTTTATTTTTACTTTAGTTCTTAAACTTTCACTTGTTTCAAAATTATATCTAATGTTTATTTTTATTTCATTTTAATGTCTCTGTTAAAATTTTAATGAAATTGCTGCACGGATTTTTATGGGTAATTTATATCATTCATCACTTAACTATCTTCTCATTTCTATTTTGATCGCTAAAGTTTAAAAAATTTCAACTTAACTATTCAACTTTCAAAATAATTCATATTTTAATCACTCTAATTTATTTTAGTAATAACTTTTTGACATGACATTTTTATTATTATTTTATTAATATATAATTAAAATAAAAAATAAATTTCAAAGTTATACCGAGTAAATTTATAGTAATTTAAAGTTAAATAATTAAATTAAATTAATAAACCTCAGTGATCAAAATAAGAGTATAAAAATTGTTAAGTGATGGATGATGTAATTTATCAATTAAAAAGTGTCATGTTGTAACTGTTATATCAAATTTTTAACGGCTAGATTTCAAAACGTACAAAATATAAATGTTAGGTATGATTTTAAAACAAATGAATAAATACTAAAACGAAACAAAACAGACAATTTAAATATTAAATATGTAACTTACTTTATAATTTTTTATGTCTTAATATTTTAAACGAGTTTAGAAATTAAGTTGAATATATGTAAATGTTAGGTATGATTTTAAAATAAACGAATAGATATTAAAACGAAACAGAACATATAGTTTAAATATTAAATATATAATTTACCTTATAATTTATTATGTCTTAATATTTTAAACGAATTTAGAAATTGAGTTGAATATAAATGAACGAACATAAATAAATATAAACAAACATAAAAAACACAAGTAAACAGACATAAACAAATAAATTATTTTATATTTTTAAAGGTTCACAAACGTAAATAAACGAATAATTTTTATTTATTTATGTTCGTTTATTTAAATAAACGAACCTAAAATCACATTCATGTTAATTACCAAGCAATTCATTAAATGTTTACCAAACAATTCATTAAATGTTTACCAAACAATTCATTAAATGTTGGATTCGTTTAGAGGCGTATTCACGATTTTATTTGCATCTTATTTTCTGTTTCTTCAATTAACCAGTTCCACACTTGACACAAATTTACAAACCTAAATAATTAATTAATATCCACTGTTTTTATTTGGGGGTTGGATCCAAAACGGCACCGTACATACGGAAAAGATTCAGGACATAACGTAAGCTCCGAAATTTCCACCATCGGTTTCGTACAAGCCTCCTAACGCCACAAAATCACCATTATTGTTGTTGCCAACCGAGTCACCGCCGATTCCGAACTCGAACGATTCGTAACCCGGGATCGGGAACTCGTACCCCATCATTTCCCCAATTCCATCCCCTCCTGACACAACACTTTCTTCAACATCAACGCTCCTAAATTTCTGCCCTTCCTCAACGAACGAGAAACTCGGTGGCAAACCCAGTTCATCATCCGATGCCTCGAAAAGAAAACCTAGATCCGGCTTCGACTCACCGGGTTCCGATGATTTTACCGGCTGCGTAGCTTGAGTCGGGATTAGTATCTCTTCTTCGAAACTCTTGAGCACCGAGTCAAGTCCCTGAATCACTGGTTCAGGTCCAATGACCGGGTCGGAATCGTCCAGGAAGTTGAGCAAATCCTCCTGGATAAGCTTCGACTCCCGCAATTGAATGTTCCCATCATCGGCGTCGGGTTCTATGTGAGTAAACTCGTGCGAGTCTGAGCCGTTATTGGCCGAATCGAGACGAGCGAGTTTTAACTTAGCCGCCTCTGACTCAAAATCCTCAAACTCTTCCCGGACTCTCTTCTTGTTGTCGTCACTTTCCATTGGAAAATGGATTCAGCTTCGAAATTACAAACCAAAACAACCTTAGTGTTCAATGCATTAACTTAGTCATCGGATAGGGGAGGCTTTACAAGAAGCAAACAAGTAATAAACTTCTTTTAGTGTTGAGTGTTTGGATGGCGAGAAAGTTGATAACAGAGATAAGAACTGAAAACAAGTGAACGAAATAGAGAGGTGGCAGTGGACCGGAGTTTTTCTAGAGAGAGAAAATGGGCAGTGCTGGGTGAGTTGGAAAGAAATACTAAACCGGTTTATATAATAGTTGCAGTTGCAGACATAACATGGTCGAAACTTTTATTTTACATCTTTTTGGTTTTATTTTCCAGAAGTTATATTTATTTTTTATTAAGTTTAATAATGGATAAACTGCATATTTAGTCATCTATCTATTCACTAGTTTCTGTTTTGGTCATAAAACTATTTTTTTTAAATCATGCATAACATTATTATGTTTTGATCACTAACCGTTAAAAATAAACAGAAGTGCATATGTAACAACTGCTTTTATAAAAAAAAATCGATGATAATATGATATTACCTTATGATGACATGTTAGCATCATCGTTAATATTTTAATAGTATGTGATCAAAACAGAATTAAACCTCACATTATATGTGATTTTTAAAAATAATAATAATTAAATGATCAAAACAAAACTACGAGAATAGATAAATGATTAAATACATAATTCACTCTTAATAATTTTATAATTTTGATAAAGACAGGCACACCAAACGTGCGCGTGTAAAGTAGGGATAAATCTACAAATGCATATTATATATCCACGTCTGATCTAAAAGTCTAAATATGATAAATTATCATGATAACAGATAAATAATATCTTAATCACTTGAGATGATATCAAGTCTAATCTTTGAGAAAAAATAAACAAAAGGAAATAGTCAAACGACTAGTAAAAAATTAAAATATACTACAAAAAGACATATAAAAATATGTCATAAAAGTGTATTCATTATAATTTTAAATAAATAAATAAATAGAAAATAACATCAGTGTTCGAAAATACCTTATAATATATGATTTTAACTATTTTTTTGGATTTGCGAAAATGACCAACAAGTTCGCAACGCGAACTTCAATTTCGCAACGCGAATATGTAAATCGCAACGCTAATTATCGATATAGGTAAACAGTACTATTGCAACGCGATTTTCAAATTCGCAATGAGATTTTTAAATTCGCAACGCTAAGTACTGATATAGGTAAACAGTATCGCAACGCGAATATGTAAATCGCAACGATAATATGTAAATCGCAACGCTAATTACCGATATAGGTAAACAGTGTTATCGTAACGCGATTTTCAAATTCGCAACGCTAATTACCGATATAGGTAAACAGTACTATCGCAACGCGATTTTGGAAACTGTGTTGCGATTTACAAATTCGCGTTACGAATTTGAAAATTGCGTTGCGTATTTGGAAACTGTGTTGCGAAATTAGAGTTTGCGTTGTGAATTTGTTGGTCATTTTCGTAAATCTAAAAAAAATTTGATTAAAATCGTATATTATAAGGTATTTTCGGTGACTGAAATTATTTTCTCATAAATAAAAATAAAAAATGATATAAGAAAAGAAAATAAGAATTATTGACAAACAACGATCGGCATTAAAATTAATATAATCGTATGCAAAAAGACCAACACTGAAACTAATATAATGGCATGCAAAACAAGGATGAGAAAAAACTTGGGCGGCTACTCATACTCAATTTTTTTTATATATCCAATACTATTAGTTACATACACGACTTAGTCGATATTAATTATATATATATTGATTTATATGACACATACTTAAGAAAAATAATAAAAATACAGAGATTAGTTAACAGGTGCCTTTTAATTAAATTTGATTTTATAAATAAAGAAGTTGAAAGTGATCGATGGAAGGCATTAATGGGGGAAAATGAACAAAATAACTACCAGACATATAGAAGAATATCAGGCGGTATGACTCTCTAAAAACTCAATCTTAGAATTCATAGAGCAGTTTCAATAGGTTAAGAGAACAATATTTCTTTTAAACAACTCGAATTCGAGCAGTTATATTGGTAAATTTACGTACTTTATCAATGATTAAAAAAAAGATGAATAAATATTATATTATAATCACTCAAATTATTAAAAAAATTATTATGTATGCATAAATAATAAATTAAGTTATTTCTATAACAACAGAATATTTATATTAGATAAATTTTATTTTATATATAATTTCAATTTAGCTCTTTTTTTTCTTTAATTAAAAGTACATATAACATTAAAAAATATTTTTTCATTATCTATTTTCTAATTTTCCATTTGTTTTATTTTTCATGTCAAAGTTTCAAACAAAATCTTCAATTATTAATTTGAAAGGAATGGGAACCTCAAAATTTGCTATGTGTATGCATCACCGAAATTTGAAATGAAAGTAAGAGGAATTTAACTCAGAAATTTCCACGAAACAATGAGAGGGAGAGGAGATGTGACATTAGAATTACGTGCCATCCAACCTTCCTAGGTGGGTCCATCGTGGATAGTGAGGTCGTAAATTCTATAATACAAGAAGTCATTATATTAAAAAAAATACCTTTAATATTCATTAAAATAATTATTTTGATCTTAAACGTTTATTTTTATATTAATGAAAATTATAAATTAATAAATGATTAACGTTTAAAAAATATGAGTATTTTTATCATAAAAATAAAACATTACGACTCAAAATACTGTAGGAAAAAAAGAATAATGACCAATCAAACCTTAGGAATCCTTTTATCCTAAACGGAATATTATAATTCCAAATATATTTTTAATAAAAAAAGAAGACTATAAACCAAAATGATTATTTTATTAAATATTAGTGGACTAATTTTGACATTATATCATATATGAATATATATGAGTTAGCGTTTGTATACATATTATGAGAATTAAAATGTAATTATATTTTATGAGTTAAACATATTTAAAATTTTAAAATTTATTAAAATTAAATCTATATGTAATTTTTTAGTATAACCACCAATATCTAATCTATTTACCAACTAATCCGAATTGGATACTGCAGAGATGAAGACGACTCTCTCAACCCAATTTGCTCCATTCGGAAATGTCAAGATTCAAACCCTAACCTTATTTAAAGGATATAATATCTCATCTTATTAGACTAACTGATTGTCTATCATTTATATATAATTATTAGGATAATAAATTATATCTTCGTATGATTATAGATTTATATTCTCGAGTGCAAATCATTCTTAATGTATAATTTGATAGGTTTAAACAGGAGGAGAATTTAATTGAATTGAATTAAAAAAATTCGAGTAAGCTGAGTTGATGAGCTTTATTTTATAACTCAAATCTTATTTGTATTTTTTATTAGAATCAAACTGAGTTGTTTGAGTTTTTATTTAAATTTAATTGTAAATATTTATAATATTTTGGTACATATTAATTTAAATTTAAATTATTTTTCTATAACCATATACAATATACATATATATTTCACATATGTAACCTGCATATATTATGCAAAGTTGAAGGACTCGACTCGAACTTAAAAATCAATCAAACAATTATTAAAAATTCCAGCTATCCGAGTGTCATTCAAACTTCATTTAAAAAAATTCAGTCGAGTTTGTAAAATTATGATTCGAGTCAAAAATTTTAATATCAAATAGAATTGAAAAATTCAATCTTTTAGAGTTGAATCTTATTCCCCTAGGTTTAAATATGCCAAAGGTTCATGTATAATTTTATAATTTAAAATTTAACCCCCTATATATACAAACCAAGCGATTTTGATAATAAAAGAATTTTTGTTATTCATTGAGGTTACGAGTTCGTGTTTCATGAATATCAGAGGTTTAAACGTTCAATATCAAATGATTGAGTGCTATATTAAAACATATATTACCTTTTACTTAACTTAAATTAATAAAAAAATTAATCCCTGTACTAATCTTATGTGAAAATTTTGACCCTCCTCTAATTTTTATTTAATATTATATCCTTATTCAAAATTTAATTTAATTACTGATAAAAAGAATTATATTTCAATATTAAATTTAAATAATTATATCTATAAAATATATATTATCAATAGTTAAATTTTTTAAATAAATATTATTTATAATCACCTTATTTCTTAAAAAAATCTACGTATATTAAATAAAATAATCATCGCAACGATAACGGCAACTCTGAGCTGCCACCATCTATCCTGCAACTGTACATTTAATTAAAATTAGAACTTAATAAATATCTTCTATAAAAAAATTCATAAATATATTAATGCAAGCGAAAAAAAATTAGGGAAATATAGGTTTTAAAAAATCAACTTAAGATCTAAGTTATTTGTTATAACATTTAAAAAATTTCATTGTATAGAAATAATGAATTTTATAAAATATAATAAATAATTAAAATTCGTCATATGAACATAACGACATCCATATAGTTTTCGTCCGATTCATATGACATAATTTATTTTTAATATATATATATATATATATATATATATTATGAAACTCATAATACAAACATAATAGATTTTACGTATATTATAATAAATAATTTAAATTTCAAAATAATCTTTTAATATCCACATATTTCAAAAAAGATTTCTGCCCATAACATTTTTAAATTTTATTCTATTTATTGATTAAGTATTTATTTTTAAGAAATATAAATCATCATCAGCAAATCTCTACTCTTGGTCCCACCTCCTTAATTCTCGCCGTGTAGGCAACTTTTCGAAGCCGAACCAACATATTGTTATCGCGCCGACTCGACTAACAATTTCATCGCTTTCGTGGCTCATATACATGCACGGCGCCACGTCTACCCTCATCCCCACCCACGTGTTACTGTTGCTCACCGACTCCGGTAAGACTTCAGATTCTTTTTCCTTTTAATATTTTTTTATATTATTATAGATTGATTCGTTTATATTTGACGAACGAGTTTAAAACTTAATAAATAATAAAATGATTATTTTATAATTTTAATAATAGAATGATTTAATAAAATAATTTTATATATTCATAGGATTATTTTATAATTCTTAATAGTCATAAAACTCAATAAAATAATATCATATAGTCAGAAAATCATTTGTATTCTTCATCCTATATTAAGTTACTTTATTTTAATTTATTTTATATGTATTATATATGTATTATTTATTTATAATGTTTCATTATGAATTCATTGAGTTGTTTTAATGGTAAAAGTAAATGTTATTTTTTTAAGATTTCGTTCGAACAATTACATCTGCCTGTTGTATACATTATAGTATTACTTAATTATTTGTATAGTTGATATTTTAATTGTAAAATGGTTGAAGGTGTTTTGATTTCTATATAATGAAAATATTTTGATGATAATATCTTAATATTTTAAATTATTTTGATTTTATTTGAGCAAAGACATCTCAATGGAAGTATTTCAATATTGACATCTCAACATTATGACGAACGAGGACATAAAAAATATATTCAATGACAACATTTTTATAAGGTTTAATTTCTGAAACTCATTATAAAAAATGAAAAATTACCAAGTCTGTAGTTTTGTTTATTTTTAACAACGGATGACTAAAATAGAACAAAAATCATAACTACGTATGATTTTGAAGACAAAATAATTATGATATCAAAATGAAATCACATAAATAATTAGGTGACTAAGTACGCAATTTATCCTAAAATAATTTATCAGTTAATAATACACTAAAGATAAGGTGTGGATGAGACGTTAGTTATGGATGGGCATACATAATACATTGTCTTTGTATTATTCTTTGTTACGATAACGTAAAATAAAATTTTGGTACTCCAACAAACATTTTGTTCTCAACATATAGAATTGACAAAGAAAAATAATATTTGATTCTCGTGTTGATTTATTTATTTTTTTTGGATAAATTAATCAGCTTCATTATCCAAAGAACAAGTTCAACAACAAGAACAAAATCTGCTACAGAACCAACAGTGTTCTGTGTACCAAAAAAAATTAACTTACAAAAGAATCAAGAGCAGTTTATATTCCAAAGTGTACAAAGGGTAGAATTAGTGCTATCATTTCTATTTATGTTCCTATCCCTCAGCTGAAATTGCACCACATCCTTAATGGCAGTGAACAGCTCTTGGGTGTTTTCTGCAGTGACCTTGAAAGAGCCTCCTGTTTCTTTCTTCCCATAGGATATAGATGAGAGAATTAAGAGCAAGCTTCAAAATCAAAGTTAGCAAAGATTTACCTTTCCAAGTAGAACTCGCCATCACAAAAAAAACATCCCAATAGATTATGAAATGTTGCAGACCAGTGTGAGTGAAAACAGAATTCCATAATTGCTTGGCCATATGACAATGGAGAAACAAGTGCTCCCTTGTTTCCCAAGGATCGTTGCAGAATAAGCAAAGACATTCATTGATAATCCCCATTTGGTGAAGTCTCACTTTTGTTGGAAGCCTATTAAGTAATGTCATCCAAGAAATCAAGTCGTGTTTAGGAATGTGCAAAGGGAACCAGATAATTATCTGCCAGTGGACTTGGCATCTGTTTTCACGAATTGCATCCCAAATTGCATAAACTTTCATTGTTCCAGCAGACAACACTGAGGAAGCCTCGGTTCTAAGTTTAAAAATACGCCTCAAGTTCCAGCTATATGTGGGATGAACATTAAAATTCCAAAAATTGTTGCCTTTAAGAACATAGTGGTTGACCCATGCAACCCATAGAGAACCTTCACCTGCTAAAATATTTTTGATATGGAGAATCATACAAGCTTTATTCCAAGTCTTCAAATCTTTAAGACCAAGCCCTCCCTCGGATTTCAGAAGACATGTGTTTTGCCAACTCACTTTAGCTCATTTCGTAGCTTTATCCTCACATTTCTAGAAAAAACGTGAGCAAAGTTGTTCAATTTTTTTAAGGACTGAATGAGGAAGTGAGATTTGCCGACACCAATAATTAGTGATACTGAATAAGACAACTTTGATTAATCCCAGCCTTCCAGCATAACTTAGAGATTTAGTAGACCAATGATTTAACCTTGCTCTAATGCTATCAAAGAGAGCAGCACAATCACTTTCAGTAATTTTTCTGGTGACAAGAGGAATTCCGAGATATCTTACAGGAAGTCTGTCAATTTTAAACCTTGTGAGCAGTTTGATTTCCTTCAGAATTGAACAATGAATACCAGCATCATAAAGGTCACATTTTGAAGCATTAATCTTAAGACCAGACATCTCATAAAACATATCAAGGACACTAGATTGACATTCATAAAGCCTTTGACACATTGAATTGGGACTTCATTTCTGCTATTTTACAAGCCATTGGTCTGCCAAGTACTTTCATCAATTGGATTGAACTTTGCTTCTCTACTACTAGATTCTCTATTTCCTTTAATGAGAGTCTTCTTGGTTTTTTTAAGGGAGCTAAAGGCATTCGTCAAGGTGATCCCCTCTTTCCTCTGTTATTTGTTCTCTCTATGAACATTCTCTCTAAACTCCTCAATTTAACAGCCGCCAAAAGTATTTTTGGTTTCCATCCGAAATGTAAAAAAATTGGCCTCACTCATCTTTCTTTTGCCGATGATCTTTTGATTTATTTATTTTTAAAGTATGTTTTGGTTTGTATTTATTTAAATTTTTAGTATTATATTCGTTTATTTATATTTAAAAGTATTTTTGGTCATTCGTTTAACATTCATGTTCATTTAACGTTTGTTTGATGATGAGCAACCAACACTATCTTTTACCAAAATATTTTGCAAGCCAAATAAAATGGTGAAAGCCACTAATTCTTAAGTACCTTATACTTTACAATATGAACTCTAAAGTTTATCCATATCTTTACCATTATTTAAAATGTAAAAAATAAAGGGAAAAGAAGAACAAAGTAAAAGAGATAATAAACGAGTTTATTTGTGAACATAAATAAATCAAACACACATGTTCGTATTCATTCATTTATTAAATGAACAAAAAAAATTTGTTTATACTCGCTTATTTATTTTAGAAAATGAACAAAAACGATCGTTATACAAATGATTCACGGATAGTTCATCAAACGCTCTATTCATTTACGGCCCGTCTCTTTCTAGTCATTGTTTGGAAAAGTTTCTTGAAGGCAAGATTCATGTTCCACCATTGACATAAATGTGCGATAATGGTGTTGATCAACTTGCAATCCCACTTATAGCCTCCCTTAAATTATAAAAGGGTTAATTGCACGTAATTGATTTTGTGTCGAGTTTGTCTTTACATATAAATGATCATAATCAATCGTCGAACTTGTAAAGTTGAAATTTTATAAAAATAAATAAAAAATTATGAAATACTTCATATCATAATGATGCAAAAATTAAGAAATACGATTGTTTATTCAAATAAAAATGGATCAATTATCCACTATCATCACAATTCAATTAAAGTTCTATTGACGTACCAATATCTTAAAAAGATTATTTTATATTTCTTTGATCAACAACCTTCTTTTTCTCTTTCATGACTACCAAGTGATTTGGCCATTAATCCCTTGACTTTTAATCCAAAATAAAAGAAGTCAATCCCTAGAACTATCAATATTTAGGCTATCCATCAACTATATTACTCACCAATGATTCATTAAATATTGTTGTTCTTAAAATACCAAGATTCGTCCACTGAAGAAGAAGAAGAGCAGGAGACGAAGAAACAAGAACCAAATTCTGGGAGTCATGTGATTTTTTCAAGGAGATTACTTGTTGTGCGGTTACCTTCCTTCTTCCAAAAGCGATGGCAAAAGACTTCAAAAATCTTGTATGTCGAAGGGTGTTCGACGAAGGACTTGGGGGTAAATTTGATGCGAAAATTAGAGATTCTTTCACCAAGAAACGTATATGGTTTGACACTTTCGACACTGGTGAGGATGCTGCTGCTGCTGTTCTGGCCAAGGAACGCGAGTTCGAGATGATGAAGTCGGCCATGGATAATAGGAACTCATCCGTAGTTCCATCGTCTCTTTTGCCGGCACTCAATGTTTTGGTCAATGCCATTGAAATGGAAGACAACAATGAAGAAAAACAAGGTACGCAATAAAGAAAGCTGCGAAAGAACACAGTAGTTTTGCATTCTTGTACACATTTGTATTCTTTTGCAGCTTTCTTTATTACGTACCTTGTTTTCCACTTCAATGGTATTGACTGAAACATTGAGCGCCGGCAAAGGAGACGATGGAACTACGGATGAGTTCCAACTATCCCTGGCCGACTTCATCATCTCGAACTCGCGTTCCTTGGTCCGAACAACAGCGGCAACATCCTCATCGGATGCGGAGAAAAAAAAAATCAACTGGCCTTGGATAACTTTTCAATACACAAAACATCATCAAGATCGGATGCGGTACAAGAGTCGATAGAAACACACACAAATCTCTATGGTCATCTCCACTCCACCAGATTGAGAAGAGAAAAATCAGCACAATGAATTGCATTTTGATGTAGGATTTGCTTTGATTTAAGTTTCCAATTCACTGCCCCATCCAAAAGGAGCATCTCGTGTCTTGAATCAATTGCCTATCTGGGGTCATCTCCACTCCACCAGATTGAGGGTTTTGCAAGAAAGAATCTGTTTTACCCCACACTGGCCAATAGAGGCCGTACATGAGACATTGGAGAAGGGGAGAGCTTTTCAAAGCATTGTTTCGTACCACAGATAGGCAATTGATTCAGGACACGAGATGCTCCTTCTTTCGGATGGGGCAGTGAATCGGAAACTTAAATCAATGCAATTGATTGTGCAGTGAATTGGATGTGTCATACTTTGTGTTACCAAACACAGCCTTAGATGTAGAAGCTTAACCAGTGAGTACTTGTTGCAGAGGAAGATACAGATCTTTGCTTTCAGAAGAGCTTAATCCTGGAATTGATAGGGCTTGCCTTTTTCTATGTTTTGGGAATTAAACAGCATGGGAGATGTTTTGGGTTGGCCGTACAGTGATAAGGCCTTATTGTAAGCTTTCATATAAGCATGCATCATTCAAGGGATAACTGATTGGGAGATGATTTGATGAAGATGGTGTAGAGCAGTGTAAGTGAGCGGATGGATTCAAGTTTTCTTCTTGATGCTTTTGGAAAATATGACAGATTGACAGCTGCAGAAGTAATATGTAGAGCTTTTCAGCCTCTGGTTAACATCTTAGATAAGTATGGTTTGCCCGCGCATTCACCTACAAAACACACGTGGAACCGAGTTCAGTTTTTTCTTAGACAATTCCGAATTATATGGCTTGGTACTTTGGACATTGATGAGGAAGCTGCTACTGCTGTTCGGGCAGGGGAACTATATGAAATATCAGAATAGTTTTTCCATTAGAGTTAAAGCGTATCATAATGTAACATAGATGCTTAATATCATGTGTTGTCGGTGAAGTTGTCATCCGAATTTTTTAGTATAGAATGCATGAAATGGAAACTATAGGCATCATTTGCATTTGAGCCATACCTGAACTCCACCCCGCTGAAATCGTTGCTGACATGATCTAAAATCCAAGGTGCCTCCTATGCTTCTACATGTGAATGCAATGGAGAAAAGAGTTGCCAATCCAAAGGCTCCATCATTAATAGTTCATCTCAACGCTTTAAAGCAACAAGTTCTCTTACTTCGGCATCCAACATATTGACTATAATTTAATTCTCGAACCAAAATATTGGGCTGTTAAGAAAAGCATCCATTTACAAAGTAGTTTCATGTTTGATCCAGAATATAATCATAAGAAAAATCCTCAACCTCAAAGTTACTCCATAATTCAATAATGATTAGTAAGTTCTCCACTCATGATATGAAATTGTTAAGTGTTGTTCTGTATTAACGACAGATGAGAAATGTAAATGACAGATTCGTAAGTTCTTTTGCAGCTTTCTTCATTACGTACCTTGTTTTCGCTTCATTGCTGTTTTCCACTTCAATGGTACTGACTGAAACATCGAGTCTCGACAAAGGAACGACGGAACTACGGCTTAGTTCCTACTATCCATGGCCGCCTTCATCATCTTGAACTCCGGTTCCTTGGCTCGAACAGCAGCAATAGCTCCTTCATCAATGTCCGAAGTACAAAGCCAAGTCATAGACGTTTGTGAACATAGACATGGCGGTCCATGGTGGATGTGACTGATAACATGACAGATAGACTAAATTAGTTTTTTGGTCGATTTCAAGAGTCAAATTGATTTTTTTGAAAGTTCAAGTGCTTATTTGATTTTAAAAAATATATATATTTTAAATTTAAAATATAAAAATGTTTGAAAAATTAAATATAGAAAATTCCAAAAATTAAAATTAAAATATTAAAAGAATAAAAATACATTATTATTTTTTACTTTAAATTTTATCTGAATTTGATTTATATAAACCTAAACTCGTCTATCTCGTACAATTTTTATTTTATATATTTACATCTAATTTTTTTAAAATCAAAATATATTTTTAATTCTATTTCATTATTTTTTAAATAAAAATTTAATTAAATAAATATTATAAATTCTTATGAAAAATAAATTTTAAAAGTTATAAAATTAAAATTTACATATAACTCATGAAACTATATATATATATATATAGTTTTTTATTAATTTATTTTTTATTTTTATTATTTTTGTATTTTAAATAGTTTTTTAAAATAATTAAATAAGACCTTGAACTAAAAATAATAATTTGATCTACGAACTCGATATAATAACCCATCAGTCATCGTAGACCATCACATTAGCACCATGAAGTGTCAAATCAGTATTTTAACAGTCAATGATAGAAATTATTAGTCAAAAGGTTACATTAAATTATTTTCTAAGTTTAAGAGCCAAATTAAGGGTATGCTTGTTTGGGGGAATTGGTTTTCCCCGAAATCTCGTGTTTGTTTCACGTAATTCATTTTTCGGAAAACAATTTCCAGTGTTTGGTTGGAGAAAAACTGGTTGGTTAAAATAAAACATTTTCTTGGTCAACAGAATTTCCTTTGTGTTTTCTGGAAAATGACTTACGGTCTGATTTTCCTTAAGTCATTTTCCGAACTTTTCACTTCAAAGAATAAATACTCAAAATAATTTTATTTTATGAAATTAATATTAATAAAATATTTTAAGACCATTTTAATCAAAATATTAATTATTAAAATATTTAAAATAAATTTATTAATATTTCTAATAATATATAATATAATATTTTTAATATATAATAAATAATCAATTATATTAATAATATAAGATATATTTTTATTTTAATAGTATATAATAAATTATCAATAAAATTTATATTATTTATTAATTTCATAGAAATAATATTAAATTATTAATAATGATAATATTATTTATATATTTAATATTAATATAATAATCTAATAATATTTTAATAAAGATATTTAAAATATACTAAATAATATTTTTAAAATATAATATAACACTATTACTTTAATAAATAATTAATATAATTTATAATATTTTTATTTCAATAAAATATACCAATATTAATATTTTTATTAATAAAATTATAAAAATAATATTTAATAATAAATAAATTATTTTAATATTTTAAAAAAATTATATTAAGTTTTATGATAAATAATATTATTTATTGTATTTAATATTTTTAATAAATAATTTTTAAAAAAACCCATCAAGTGGAAAAAAGGTTTAAACAACATCTTCCAAACATCGTAAAACATTTTCCAGAAAATATAATTCATTTTCCAGAATTCAATTTCCAGAAAACCAATTACATCCAAACAAACATACCCTAAGGGGTGTTTGGTTCAAGGATTGTGGGATTCTCATTCTATGGGGATCCCACATTCCCATGTTTGGTTGGTTGGGAATCTCATTCCCGGTAATATTTTATTACCAATAGTAGATTTTTTGAGGTATGTTACCGAGAATGTCATTACCTCCTTTCCCTTAGGTATTGGAACATTACCAGCATTTTGGACTAAAATGCCCTTAAATTTTTATTTTTTTTCAAAAATATCATTCTTCTGTCGTTGAATAATAAAAATTTTACGAATGTTAAATTACAAATTTATCCTTAAATTATTTTAGATTTACAAAAAAAAAAGTCTATAATTAAAATTTTATATGAAGTTCAGAGGTTAAAAAAATTTACCCTTTCATTAAACATTTTTTATATTTTTAATTTTGTAAAAAATTATATAAATATTATGAATTTAATTTTTTAAAGAAAATATATAAATATTTTACAATTTATAATATTATACAAATATATAATAAGGACAATTTGGTCAAATATACATTCCAATAATCTTTTATTCCTTTAACCAAACACGGTAATATTACATTCCTGCTAAACCAACCAAACACAAAATACAATATTCCCAGTAATCCTATTCCCTGGTAATCTTTTATTCCCATTGGTAATCTTACATTCCGTGAACCAAACGCACCCTAAGTGTAAAAATAATTTGAGGGCTAAATTGATTTTTTTTTAAATTACAAAAACCTCATGTACCCTTTTACCTATTGTAAATAATCTTTGTACAAAATCTGCATCCTCATTCCTGAAGACCAATATTTATCTTTAATGACATGTGGATTTTAATTTAACCATTTTTCAACTTGATCCCTAATACGTACCATTGTAAAATTTCTACATGACACCGACTCTATACATAAGCATATATAATATTTAATTTGACTTTTTGAATAAGATATATTTTACATTTATTGCTGGTTTTTATTTACCAACCATAAAATATAAAAAAGTAAACATTTATCTCAATCAACTTGAAGATGCTACTAAAAAGTTTGGTCATCGTTTAATTTTTTTTTAACTCAAATATTCATTTTCGCTCAATATTTTTCTTATTTCAATCAAGTTGTTGGTTTTTCTTGAAAATCAAGAATGCCAAAAGATACGTTAAATATTTTGTTTCCTTTCGCCATGCAAAGCTTTAAGCAAAAGCTTTAGCGTTTGATAGAAAAACGAAAACCATGGAACCCAGTTCAAATTTTCCCAAGACTATTCGAATTATATACACTGATCCCTACGCTACAGATTCGTCCAGCAACGAAGAAGAAGAGCAAGAGATGAAGAAAACCAGGAATCAAATTCTGGGATTCAGGCGATTTGTCAAGGAGATTACTTTTTGTGTGGTTCCCTTCAATTCGTCGAAAAACGATGGTCAAAGACTTCAAAACTCTTGCACCATGCCGAAGGGTGTTCGACGAAGGCCTTGGGGCAAATTTGCTGAGGAAATTAGAGATCCTTTCACCAAGAAACGTATATGGCTTGGTACTTTCGACACTGAAGAGGAAGCCGCTGCTGCTCATCGGGCCAAGGAACGCGAATTCCAGATGATGAAGGCGACCATGGATAATAACAACTCATCGGTTGTTCCGTCGTGTCTTTCGCCGACGCTCGATGTTTCGGCCAATGCCCTTGAAGTGGAAGGCAACAGTGAAGAGGAAACAAGATACGTAGTGCAGAAAGTAGCAAAAGAACACAAATTTGTTCAAGAATGCAAAACTAATGTTCACAAAGGAGTCTCCGTTAAAGATTTGTGGAAGGACGAGGCATCGGTTATGGTGTTGTGGGAACTTCCATCGGCTTCAGAATCATGGGAGGATCTCTTCGGACGGTGTTGTCTCGATAATCGTATGTATAATCTTAACAACCATCTTTTATCGAACGACGACGGCGTCGACCACCACCCGGAGAATGCTAAGTTGATTGAGTTGCCTGACATGAAAATAGACGATGAGAAAATTGCTTGGGTGGATGAAATTATAAAACATGGGAAGTGAAGTAAATTTTGCACATACGAAACAATATCATTTTCATTCTCTCGAGTACAATATACATTATCATTGCATTTAAATTTAGATAACTGCAATATTTTAGTGTAACATTATTTCTTTTACTTTCAAGTTGTTGAAACTAACATCAATATTCTAAATATTTAGATTAATTAAGTGTAATCGATCATTTATTGTTAACCGTTATTATTCTATTGATCACGACATCGAAATTCTTGCACCATGGCCACGGGCGTTCGACGAAGGCCATGGGGCAAGTTCGCTGCCGAAATTAGAGATCCTTTCAACAAGAAACGTCAGTGGCTCGGCACTTAGTGCACTATAGAGGAAGCTTCCGCTGCTTATCAGGCCAGGAAACGTGAGTTTGAGATGATGGCGGCCGAGGAGAATAAGAACACACCGTCGATTCTGTTGTCCCCTTCATCGGTGCTTGATGTTTCTGTCAAAGCCGTTGAAGACAATGAGAAGGAAACAATGGAAGATCAGTACGTAATGAAGAAAGCTGTGAAAGAGTACAAATTTGTGCAAGAAAGGAAACCTAGTGTCGACCAAGTGGTATCCGTTCAAGATTTGTGGAATGGCGAGGCATTGATTATGAGGTCATGGGAACCTCCATCGTCTTCGGATACATGGGATGAGCTCTTCGGGCGATGGGATCTCGACACTCATATGTCTAACCTTCATGACGATCTGTCGTGGAACGACAACGGCATCGACCGCCGGCCGGAGAAAGCGAAGTTGATTGATTTGTCTGACATGAAAATAGACAATGATGATATAGCTTGGGTGGATGGATTTTAAAGAAAAAGAAAAATTAATTTTTTGTTGCTGAACACAATAGCATTTAATCAGTTGTCATTGAAATATTCAAACATCTTGTAATGAGTGTAAAATATATCAACTGAAATCGTGATTTGTGTCGAAATTTGGATACATGCAAAGCACATGAAATTAATCCTACTGCCATAATATGTTTATATCTCCTCATTAAAGGCACACAAAAGTACAGTAAATTAATTCTACTAACGGTAAAACGGATTGTACAGCAATATTTTCATTGTTTTTACCATAAAAAATTGCTAAATATAGAAGGAAAAGCATTATATCACTCTAAAATATAAATATCTCTTCTAAAATCCAGGAAGCAAGAATTGAGAAGCAAATAACGAAAGTAAAAATCAAATCCTAAAACTAAACAATAACTATGATTCATCGTGCAATGAGATGCATTAACTCCGAATATAATTTCAACCATTTTTTAAATAATATAAATTTTTTGTCCGAAGTGGACACAAATAAAATTTCAGTTAAGTACAATCAAAAAAATAAGTAACTAATCAAATAAAATTCAAATTTCAAGATAAGAACGTGTTCACTTTGAATGGAGGATGGATCCATCGTTGTGGGTATGTTACGGCATCACATAGATATACTACGTCAGTGATAAGTGGTGGTTATTAATTAATTAACAGTTTCCTTTCCAAGAGAGTTAATTTAATCAAAAATAAAATATCTTCCTCCTCCCCAGTTGCATTCAAAACACTCTCCATTGTGTTCATAAATCCTTAAAGTTAATTTAGGGTGTGAATGATAAATTTGGAATTGGGGTTAGAGATTTGAGTATTAAGTTTAGGGATTTAAGTTTGGATATTTTGATTTAAGGGGATTGGGACGACAACAAAAGGGATGGTCGATAGTGGAAGTCCGACGATGGGTGAGTAGCCGTTTGACGATGGCAAAGGCGGCTGGTGATGTCCGACGACAACTGGTAATGAGGTTGAAACGAGAGATTTTAGTGTAGTAGAGTTTTTCTATAATTTTAAAAAAATATGTTTTAAAAAAATAATAATATTATAAAGTTTTTTAAAATAAAATTTTAGAAAATATAAAACATGACACATTATTTAACGATTTTTTAAACAGTCATTATAGCTTATGCACCTAAAAGTGTACAGTTAGACAACTACTCTTAGCAAAAAATTCTTTAAGCACCTAATGCTAACTTATGATATAGTTTGGACACTTATTTTTACATTAAACCAAAATATAAACATGACATGTATCACTCTACTATTCTTTTAACACTCGTTACTATGTAGACACCAAAAAGTATATCAGATAAAAACATTAAGTACCTAAAAGTGTAACAAATGTTGTAAAGTGTATTATAGAAAACATTAAGCACCTAAATGTGTAACAAAAATAACATTAGACGCTTATTTTTAATGAAAAAATCTTTAAACACTTAAAATTAACTTAAGATATAGTTTACACATCTACATTTATATTAAACCTTATTAAAATGAAACAATTTAAGGGATAAAGTAGGTCTCCTAATAAAAACAGAAGGGTCAAAGGTGCAATAGAGACGTAAGCAACAGATTGAAAGAGAGAGAGATGAGAATGAGCGGATAGTGGTGCCACGATTTTATGATAATGACGCCAATAGAATTAGTATTAGCCATTAGCCAACAGTTAAAAAAGCAACAATTCAATATACCCACTTGTCCCCCTTCTTTGATCTTATCAACTACTCCCCCTACACTACTATCCACCCATACCCCAAATCCTTGATAACCCTAAACTACAACACTCATGCCCTATTCCATAAATCTAATCTAAGAATGTTACTAATCCAAAAAAAATATAGGAATAATAAATTAACTCGTATCTGACAAATTCTGACTTAATTAAGTTTAAGTTTTTTTTAATAAAAAATTTAAATCCACATCTTACAAAATAAAAATCAAATATAAATTTTTATCTCAAAATCTAAAAGTGTAATAAAATTACGTTATTCTAAATTGAGTCAGATTTGGGTGTTTCTCGAGTAAGGTCAAATTAAAAATAAAAGATAAATAAAACTCAATCCAACCCAACCTATTACCATCCTTAGTTCAATCCTTCGTCTTTCCCTCTCACCCATACTATTTCATTTTCTACTAATTCAAACACATAAGAGAATAAAGTATGAAGAACAAGATGAAAACCTTAATTTCCTTCGAATTACAATCACATGAGAAGGAACAAGGGAATTAGAGCCATCAATAAACCATAACAATATATTACACAAAAGTCTCTCAAATCCTCTCTTCAAAAACATTTAAAAAAGATACCCCTGACAAGAGCGAGAGCAATAATTCTTGTTCTTTTCACTCCCCCCTCTTTGAAATTTTTATCAAAATCCCATCCCAATAATCAAAAACCCATCATCATCATCATCATCATCTCCATTTTAATTTGTGATTAATCTTCTTATATTTACAATCCAAACACTACCCACACTAATAACGAGTTATAATTTTTACTAATTTCTCATCATCTCCCTCTCTCTTTCCTTTTTTCTCATATCAAAACTTTTTCTTTAAAGATGAATCTCCGGCCCACCTCCTTTGAGGGTCTTCAGTTTTGTTATAGTTTAAGCCACGGCAGAGATGCTGCAATTGCGGTTATCTCGATTGAGACAATCGAACCCCTCGACTCGTACCGCCGCCGGCTGAAACCCGAATTTCACCCTCACGCACCCTCCTCCCCTTGAAGATGGGGAATAGGGCGGTGCCACCGTTGTTAGTTGTGCCATATCGTTGTTGAATCGGACGTCTTGGATTAAAGGGTTTGTCGCCCTACTCGGTGGTGATCCGCAGAAATACGGTGGCGATGAAGCCATTTGGTTGTTGGATTCTTCAGCTTCATATCCTCCCTGTAAATCAATTAAAAAAATCAAACTTAAAAAGGGAAATTAAATCCCAGAAATACTCTTAAAATTTGGGGAAAATGAATTTACCCTAGAGAGGATTAAATCGAGAAGATCTGTACCAGCATCTGAATCCTCCATCTCACTCTGATAATAACAACTGAATTTTCCACCAAAATTAAAAATTATAAAATAAATGAAAAAAATAATACTTTGAAAATAAAATAACAAAGAGAGAAACTAATCAGAAGATAAAAGGAGAGGCTTACTTGGTAGGCCATTTAAAGGTACGGATAGGCTTAGGGCAAACCACAGAGTCAAATCCTCTCTCTTCAAACCTTCCCATGGCGTTGGTGTTCATTTAAACTCTTTTTAATTTTCAATTTTTTTCAAACAAACCAAAGATCTGAACACCAACAAGGCCTGTACAAGAACAAAATCCCCCCCAAAAAATTAGATCTAAACAGAGAAAAATTAGAAGGAAAAAAAACAAGAGAAGAGATCTGGGCAATTTGCCAGACGAACCTTAAGCCCCTCCAATGGAGGATTTAAGGAAGAGATTTGTGTGGAATCAGAGAGAGAGAGAGAGAGAGAGAGAGAATGAGCAAATCTGGGTTGAGATTCAGAGAGAGGAAAAGTTTCAAAAGAAATGATACAAAGGGATTGGGCTGGGTATTCATAGAGAGAAAGTGACGGAGGGTGGATTAGGGTGTGGACGAACTTAGATTGATGTGATGTGAGATCAATTGGTATTGGCCGATTGATTTGAGTTGGACGGTTGATGATTGTTTTTGAGAGAGGGTCAAAGGTGTGGTTGAGACAAACAATGAAATATCAATCAATCAATTTTTCCCTTTTTTTTTAATTCGGTGATTTGTATATTTTAATCCGTCTGAAGCATGCACGTTTCTTATTATAATTATTTTTCCTTTAATAAAAACGCTCCCCTTCCTTATATAATATTTTCACTCCAATTTATTAATTGGGCAAATTTTGTTAGCCACTATATTTATTCTAAATTATGGATTTAACAACTGATTTTCTAATCTCCTCATTTTAGTTCTTATAATTTTAAAATTTTAATCCTAACTCAAACAATAACATGATTAAATTGGAAAACAAAAAAATAAATACATAATCTATGCATAATACTAGGCCTAAATTTGACCTAACAAATTTAATAGTTATTATTAGAGTTAGGATTGACATTTTAAAAATAAATAAATTAGAATACATAAATTTTAAATTTTAATAGTTATTATTAGAATGTTGGTACAAATGGTTGGTATTCAGGAATTTGAGCTTATAAGGCTAAGTTCGAATCTTACCATTGTTACTCTTGGTGGACAATCTGTAAATTACTATGTAAATTCTAATTGGGTCTTAAATATGTCCTAACGCTGGACTGAAGGAATCACCCTGACCTAAACTTTTATATACTAAAAAAAACTCAAAAACTCACCTATAATTACAAATTGCTTAACCTAAAGATTTTCAATAGTTAATTTTCAATAATTTTAAGGCATAATGATAAAAATAGTCCATAACGTTTGCACAAATGATCACTTTGTCCTTTTTCTTTTAGCGTTTTAGCTCCCAAAGTTTTAATTTTTTTTGTCAAAATGGCCCATGTTGGATGAAAGTCATTAATTGACTAACAGTCAATACATATTGTTGATGTGATATTTTTGCACGTGCTTAATTGATAACGTAATATGTTTCACATCATCAATGATGATGTGACATGTATCATGTCACTCAATATAATGACATGACACATGTCACATCAATAATTAAATACATATGAAAATATCACATCAAAAACATGTGTTAACCGTTAGTCAACTAACGATTTTCATCTAACATGTGTTAAATGTTTGTTTATATTCACTAACACACATATGTTAGTGAATGTGGAGACTAAATTGAACATAACATTAATTTTTGAGTTTAAACTATAAAGTCTAAGGAACTTAAGGACTAATTACATAAATTTCATCATATTTGCCTTGCAAATAAAAGGGTAATAAGAGAGAGTTGATTCGTGAATATTAAACAAATGTTAAACGAATATGTTTACAAGCGCTAAACAAATAAATACAAATACATTCAAAAATAAATAAATTAACACGATACTAAAAGTTTTAATGAATGCGAACTAAACATTAACACATTCAAAAATAAGCAAATAAACATAAACATAAATATATAGGGTGCGGTAAGGCAAAATAAATGTATTCAACGTCTATCAGATTTAGTAATAACATGTTATTCTTTGAAATTGTAAATATATTAATTAAAATATTATTCAAATAAATCACTTCATCTTTAGGTATTAGATGATATGATACAATAATAATTTTAGTTTTTAAAATTTATATAATTTATTATTTTAGTCCTAATCTGAAATAACTCAATAATTTAACCCTTCATATTTAAAATTTTGATCATTTTTAATTTTATTATTAAAATTACTTTTAGTAAATATTAAAATCATAGAATCAAAACACAAAATGTCTGTATAATTTTCTTGTGAGAAAAATCAATTTATAAATTTTTAAAAAAATTATCAGTAATAATATAAAATAATTAACTTATATAAAAATTTTGAAAATTTTAAAATAACGACCTTCTCATTAACTATGCCCTTAACTCACTAAAATCTCGTGAAGCGGCTTGCCAAACAACCATAAGATCGTTTTGTTTACGGAATGTAAGATTATCAAGGAATAATATTAATGGGAATGTTGTATTTTGTGTATGGTTGGCTTAGCAGGAATGTAAGATTACCGTGTTTGGTTAAAGGAATAAAAGACTACTGGAATGTATATTTAACCAAATTGTCCTTATCATATATTTGTTTTTTTAACAAGTTGAAAAATATTTATATATTTTCTTTAAAAAAATTAAATTCATAAAATTTATATAATTTTTTTACAAAATTGAAAATATAAAAAAGTTTAATGAAAGGGTAAAATTTTATAATTTTATTTTAATCCCTGAACTTCATATAAAATTTTAATTATAGATTTTTTTGTAAATCTAAAATAGTTTAAGGATAAATTTGTAATTTAACCTTCGTAGAATTTTTATTATTCAATGATAGAAGAATTATATTTTTGAAGAAAAAAATTAAGGGCATTTTAGTCTAAAACGTCGGTAATCCAACAATATTTAAGGAAAGAGAGGTAATGTCATTCCCGGTAATATACATAAAAAAACCACTATTGATAATTTTACATTACCGGGAATAGGATTCCCGAACTAACCAAACTGAAAAATATGTATTTCATTCTCATAAAAATCCCACATTCCCCATCTAAACGCGCCCGTATAGCCTTTTAAAAGTCCCCTAATTCCTAGCCTTCCAAATACTAGTTAAAGTTTACTAAAAATCCATATATTATACTTAAAAGTTGATTTTAATCTCTTTATTATAAAAAATATTTTAATTAGTTTATTTTACTTAAAATTTGTTGTAATTTCTGTATTATAAAAAAGATATTTTAATCCTTGTATATTTTAAAAGTAAAAGTTTTAGTCCAAAATTTTAAAGTTATAATTAATTAACCTGAATATTTTGGTTTAAACGTCTTTTAAGTCTCTATTAACTTTGAAAATGAGAAAATTTAACTCCTTTGCAAAAAGAGTAATTTATTTACTGTATACTTTGAAAGTCAAAAAATAAGAACCATCTAAGACGATGTTGATATTTTTCATCAGTACATGACATATGTCTCATCATGATTGATTTTAAAAAAAAATAAAATTGGTAATTTTGTATAATTTTATAATATTTTTTACAATTTTAAAAAATAATAAATTTTAAAAAAATATATAATTTTTATACTATATTTTTCAATTAAACCTTTACTCTCATTCCAAATCTAAATTGTTTTTAAGAAGAATTAATGTATAAATTTTCAATTAAACATTTTAACCTTATTTATGCTTTGACTTATAATTGTAATATTATTGTAAGATAAAATAACAAATTGTAGAGTTATAATATAAATTACTTTTATATTTAAATTTCACAAGTATTAAAAAATTATGTAAATATTTATAAAATATGTTTTTGAAATTGATTTGCTCGAGTTCCTAATTGTAATATTCTATGTTTTGAGATTAATAAAAAAATAGCAATTTGTTCAAGTTCAAAATAACTCAATATTATATGTTTTTCTAGTTAATTATTTTTATATAAAAAACTCACAATAACATTACAATAAAAAAATAGAAAAATGTTAATTATTTGTACTAATTAACAGTGTTATAAAAATAGAGAAATCGAGACATACTAAAAATTAAAATATAAAAATTAAACTTAGACAAAGAATGAAATGATAAATTAATTTAGATTGAATAAATAATATTTTTTAAAAATTTAAATTAATAAAGTGTGGATCATAATATTTAAATTATAGAATAAAATACGATTACAAGTACAGTTCTTAAACAACTTAATTAATTAATTAAGTATAGTTAGGCAATAAATAAATAAATGAGGAGCGTTCTCCGTTCAACGGACCATAGATGTCCACGTCATAAGTTGCTGAAAGGATGAAATATTAATAAGGAGCATTATTTTAAGCTCAATACAATATTTTTATTTCTTTTTTTTAAGCATTTTGGATTTAAATATTTTATTTTGTGGAAAAATCACTTCATGAATAAAAATCAATAGCCAACAAACAACTAATTCTGTAAAATAGGATTTTTCTGGGTTAAATTAAATATTATGAGTTGAAATGCTTAAAAATAAAAAAAGAGTAAATTAATTATTTAATCAAATATTTAAAAAAATCATAAAAAATGAAATATCACTTTAAAAAACAAAAATATATATGAAATGGTACAATTTTTTTTTGGTCTAGTAGACGGATATGATCGAATTTAAAATAACTAAAATCTAAAATATATCATGAGTGTTAATTAGAAGACAAAAAAAATAAGAAAAGAGCATCCATGGCCATGGGGCATAGATTTCCACATCCAAAGTGGGGAGAAGACAAAAGAATGCAGCAAATTGTGAGGATGCGAAGACGAAAAAGTAATTAAAAAAATAATAACAATTCAATATAAAATAATAACAAAAATAGAATATATATATATATATATATATGAAAAATAAAAACGTACAAAAATTATCCAATAAATTAATATTTTATTAAAATTAAATAATATAAAATTATAAAACAATTATCACGATGAAACTATAAAAAAGTACACAAATCAAGAAAAAATATATTTAGGGTAAAGTACAACAATGGTCCCTCGATTATAGTATACCACTTTGTTGAGTATCTCAACTATTAAAAGTTACAAAATGATCCTTTAATTATATAGCGTTACTTTGTGAGTCCATTGACTATTAAAAGTTACAAAATTATCACCTGACTATTTATATGTTTCAAACTCGTTATTTTTCATTAAAAAATTTACGATAGTTTTAGTTGAATGTTAACATGCTGAATGAGATATGATAAAATATGATCTCAGAATCTCAAATGACTATCATATCTCAATCAGTATGTTAATGTCCTGCTTAGGGCTATAAATGAGACGAGACATATCATGAGCTACTTGAGCTTGACTCGGTTAAAATTCGATAAATACTCGACTCGAATGGACTCGACTTGAGTTTTTAATTAGCCGAAATGAGTTATTTGATCTCAACTCGAA